TCAATAAAAGGAAAAAAATTGAGAGAGACTGATAATGACTGCCAGAAGAGAGAACTATGTCAAATTTATCATCAGTCCCATAGACGCTGCATTAGAAACACCCTCGCATTAGCGTTAACTGTTTTTTTGTTGTAATTTGATGCAAAGGTGATATAATACAAAGAATAGTGTTATAAATGTACATACATTTAAAAAAAATACAAATATGAAAAACTTTCGAGGATTTACGATGCTGATGACTGTTAAACGCATCATCACAGTCTTGTGAAAAGGGTCCAATATTTTAGGCTACCTACCAGAGATGGCTTGAGAACACAGCTAAACTATATATTGTCGCGACGTATGTTTACTGTCGTATACTGTTGGATATTTAAATAAATAGCCAGATAGCTAACAGATTCAATCACCCACGCAATCTTGTTCATAAAAGACAGGATTCATATGTATTAAAGCCTTGAATCACACTGTAACATTCAAATCTGCAGAGCAGTTTACGTAGGCTGAAACAAACATCTGTACAAAGTCTTTTGTATCGTTATTTCTTGTGTTACAAACATTCAATTAATCACAGAAGTACTGGAATAAAAGTTTATAGTTCGGATATAAACACTGCAGAAGCGATCAAAATAGAATAAATCACCATTTTGAAAGTGACGATGCTTCAAATAAAGATTGTACCAATTACAACCTAATGCTAGCAGGTGGAGACAAGTGACTTAAAATGAGATTCGTTAAAAAAAACGTTGATTCATTCAGGAATGAAACAAGTGAAGTCTTTATGAGCAAGTCATGGAGTTCTGAGTTATGAATAATCAGTTAATCTTTTTTTGATCAATTCGTTGAATATTGTATTCTATAAATAGACTGCAGCGATTTTTACTAGAAACTCTGGTAAATTACATGTTATTTTGTTTAGTTGTCTGTTTTTTTTTTTCAGAATCATGGTGGGAGAATAGTGATATCTATTTTAAAAATAAAATATTGATACAATATAGTTAATATAAATATGAGAAATAGGCTAATACTTCTTTCTAAAGAAATTTGTGAACTATATTTGCTCAAGAATGTTTTTAGTTTTAGCATTTTGTGTTTGTTCAATACTCTGAGTATGAATGCACATTTTTAGCAAAAACTTTTAATCCAATTTTTTGTTCCAGATTTTTACTCTTAATATATATATATATATATATATATATATATATTAATGCTCAGTGTTATTTTAAATAGGACAAGGACAAGCAAGACTTAGATAAGTAATAAACTGTATTTCTAAATCAGTAAATCTGCAAATATTGTCTTTGATATTGATACAAATATTGAACCGGAAGTTGCTGCCAACTTTATTTCAGCGAAGTGCCGTATTTCCAGCTGAAACGGAATATTGAATAGAGGGCGTCACACACACTCACATTCATGCTCTGTTATTTTAAATAGGACAAGCAAGTCTTAGATAAGTAATAAACTGTATTTCTAAATCAGTAAATCTGCAAATATTGTCTTAAATAAAGTCTGATGATGCAAATTGTAATTTGTGGCCCTTCGCATTTTATGTAGTTTAAATGCTGCCCGCTTGGCCTCTGAACTTGAGTACCCCCTGTGCTATGGCATCACTGCAAAAACACCCTTTTGGAAACTTTATTTTTAAGAGTGTATGCTGAAAAGCAGGTAGTGTTCACTATTTTCTGTAAAAAAAAAAAAAAAAAAAAGGG